GGGAGAGGATGAAGGGTTCAGCAGTAGCCTTACCTGTAAAGTGGAGCATTGGAAAATCCAGTACCTTCATCTTCAATAGAGTTTTTGCATTGAACTAATAAGATGGAAACTGATAATTGGGCAGGTTTCTGGAATTGCTGCCATAGTCTTGAAAGTGAGCCAGCCATGGGGCCCAAATCTGTCCATGTTGATACAGAGGCTTGCACAGACAACCACCACTAGCTGGACCAGCCCAGTCTTCTGAGGTTCTTAGGGAGAGCCAATGGCATTGCCTAGGTTATGGAGTTTGTGTTTAAAAGAGAGTTCTTGGAACAGGATCCTGGAGACGTGCCATCCCAGAAATAAACATTCTAACTGATTAATAACGAGGAGGTAGACTAAAAATGGTCTCCAATGTGGAAAGGATGTGGGGGTTGTTCTGGTAACAGGGGAGGCACCAAGGAGATGGTAGGGGCACCACACTGCAATTTACACACCAATATAGAAACATTTTAACATTTTGACAGCTCACAGGAGTCCATCCCGATTGAATGGGATCTCTACTCATGAGAATTCTCAACAAAATAATTACTACACGTAATACATGTATGTATTTTTAGGTTTATTTTTTAAAGAGGGAGAGAAAAGAAGACAAGCATTCTTAATAGGATCTGATTCATGGTCCCCACCCACCCCCACCAGCATTTCCAGACAGCTAGGATCATGAGTGTCTATGCCTAGCGAACAGGCTGACAGGGAACCCAAACCTGTGATCTTCCACATGGATCCAGCCTTAGTTGAGCAGCATGTTACTACTTCTCCACCAAGTTAGCTCCATGTGAAATGTTTTAAAAGTGTCTGGCCCACAGTAATTCAGTAAGTGCTAGCTATTATTATTAACTTCTTCCTGAGAACGATACAAGAATGTGTCTTTGTTTTATTAAACTGTGGCAGTGGGAAAAGCAAGATAAAAATTAGACTAATTTGTGAGACCATTATGCTTCTTTATGTCTTATTATAGTTAAAAGACCATTATTTCTCCAGGGTCTTTGTTTAGTTTAGTTTAAATTGACTTGACATTATTAAGAGAAATAAAAGTGGCATTTGGGTTTTGATAATGCTAATGCTTGTTAGAGGAACTCTTGTCACTCCAAATTTCATGCTTTACCTTACCACTTTTTTCCCTTGACACTAATCTATTTTCTTTTCCTTTCTGTCTCTCTTCCTTCCTGCCTTTCTTACACCCTGCCTGCCTTTCCTTTTCTCTCTTCATCTCCCTCCCTCCCTCCCTTCTTGCCTTCCTTCCTTCCTCCCCTTTTCTCTCATGAGAGAGAGAGAGAGAGAGAGAGAGAGAGAGAGAGAGAGAGAGAGAAATACAGAGATAGGTATTACCAACAGGCTTTCCCTGGTATTGTGATCCTCCTGCCCCACCCTCCCAATTAGCTCAGGTGTGGCTTCCACCCTGTCAGATGGTGGCACTACCTGTGTGCCACTGTGACTGGACCACACTGATTATTATCTATGTCCATCTGTACTTACAGGGCCTGGCAAGTGGTTGGCATTTAGTAAATATTTGTTGAATGACTGAAGGCATATTAAAGAGCCTTTTCAAGGGAAAATATGGATTATTGTTGATCCTATAATTGACATGTTAGTATCAGGTAAATTGTGTTTTCTCAAAAAAGGCTAAAAGAAAAAAATTAGGAAGTACTTTAGGATATCCATCTAAGAAGAGGAGCTGTATGTAAGTTATTAGGGTTTGCCTGTGCCACTGGCCCTGGAGATGAGTTTCTCTCTTGTAATATTTCCTAAAAGCTAGTAGTGATGGGTGTTGCTTGACTTATTGCCCCAGGAATGATCATCTTCTGGGAAGAAAAAGGTGTTCTGTGTTTCCTACAGCCCAATACAAGAATAGACCTTGGCAGCTAATCTAGTTCAAGGTCCCTAAGGATTGTTTAAACATAGAATCACTGCAAAACACCATCAATACACTGACATATTTCAGTTTTGACATCTGTGCCTTTAGTTTTTCTTTTACTTTATCTAGTGAAAAATTCTCACATCTATGTCCTGTGCCAGGAGATCTTCCTGAGAATTTGATTTCAGTTCTTTCTAGCTACATTGTGTAGTACAGCACCTGCCTTTCAAAGCATCCAGCACACATTTGTTAAATTGAATTGGATATTGTTTTGGCTTCTCTTCCTCACCCCTTCACTTATTTTTGCCTATTTCTTTTACCTGCCTCATGCTTCTCACCCCAATGTCTTCTAGCAGGTTCACCAATCTGTGGTGTTTGTCTAGGAGAACATAGAGTAACAGTAATCTGGAGTGGCCCTCGCCACTAGGAAGACCTGGAGAAATAGTAGAATTTTTAGCAGGTGGAATCTTCATAGATAAAATCACTGGGGATGCAGCTTTATTTCTCCGAGTGGATTCATATTTCCTGTTAAACAAGTCATACCTAGACATAATTGTTTTTGTGCTTATATGGGCTTAGATTCTGGTTTATATTAATTTATAGTGTTTAAACATTAACAAATGAATATGGAGGTTTGCAAATGAGAACATACTCATTTAATTTTGTTTTCCCACAGAATTTTGTGCGTCATCACTGGGTGCACAGGCGTCGGCAGGAGGGAAAATGTAAGCAGTGTGGCAAGGTAAGGGGCCTGGCCACCCTGTGGCCATTGCAGGGGTGCCTCAGGCCTTTGCAAGTGCTTGAGGTAGATGCATCCTATCCCCAAATCCAATGTCCGATACATCAGTTCCTTTCTTAAAGGCCTTATTTCTCCAGGTCCCTTTTCCGTAAAGTATATTAAAGTTGTTCTAGAACTCAGCACAAGAGGGTGTGGTCTTGGTAAAGGGAGTAAGCATATTTTAAGAGAGGGATACATTTGTTAATTGAATTTCATTGATTGTTGATTTTTGAAAATATAACCTTTCTTATTTTGTTAAAAATCCCTCATAGGAACCAGCAGCTGGCATAATGGTTATGTTGCTGGACTCCTATGTGGTCAACCATTGTTTGAGTCTTGGACCTATTAGCTTAAAACTTATGCCGGGTGCATGTGTGCTTATACCCAAGATCCTGAGAGGAGAATGGAGGAGAAGGGATTGCGGTGTGACCATCCTCCCTGGAGTTGGGGGGAGGGTCCTCACTTTCTATCTGTTTCTCTCTGTCTGTCTGGCTAACGCACCTGCCATGTAGCAAAAATCTCTCTCAAAACAAAACGAAACAAACAAACCCTCATAAAGACAACTGCCACACCATATTTATTTCATCATTTACATAGCATACGTAGGAACATCGACACCGGAAGCCTTACTAACATCCGAGACCTGCGATTCTTCATGGGGTTATGTCCCCACCTTCAGTATCATCAAGGCTTCCAATGTACCTGCCGCTTTTTTCTCATCCACTTTAACATAATGTCAATGACATGTTGGACAAAGATAGGTTCTGCAGAATGCAGGTCCCTTAGCTTTCCATCGGATAACATTCAGAAAAGTTAAAAATCCCTGTCACAAGCCTATACAAGTATACTGTTAACTCTACGTATGAACAAAAAGGGTTTTATACACTCCTTTCAGAGAGGGATAGAAAATAATTTATTTCCCAAATCAATGACCACATGCCATGTATTCCTGGCTGGACGATCCAAGCTTTACACTTGTAATCAGAATATGCTGGATTGAATTGTTCCAGTCTAGCATCATTCTCCAGTGTCTTTCTAGTTTTATAGTGTCTCGACGGGTGACTTAAATGAAGCATGTTGAAATATTCTACCTCTGCCTCCTCCTTCTTTTAGGCTTTAAGGATGGCACTTAAACAAATAATAATTTTTAAAAAATACCGTATCACAACTTTAAAAATCGATAACTTAATATCATCTACTGCTTTTTACTTCTGAGACTGTGACATTATTTTTTATTTAGATATGGCTGGGAGGGAGGTTTGAGAGTTTCACTTGGGCTTCTTTGCTGTCTTGGCTCCTTGTAGGCCAAGAAACCAATGTTAGAGTTCTGCCAATTACCAAATATGTTCACTTCAATTATAGAATCAAGAAACAGACAAATCTTAATGGGTTTGTGGAGCCAGTAGATACTGTAAACAAGCCAATCTAGTACTCCATTTTTTAAAAAACTGGGTCCTGTATACCCTTAATCTAACAGGGAATCACCATACTGCTTCCTACCCATGTCTTTGGGTTTACAAATGGACCTAGAATAGTTTCTGGAATATTTGGACATTTTTCTCTTCCCAGTGTACAACTACCTAAGTAAATTACTGTAGGTCTTTACAATTAGAGGCCAGAGAGCTGTTATCATAAATGCTTGCTGTGATGTTGCAGAATTCTTCTCCTGGGGACCTGTCCTCTCCTTCAATCAGTGGAGTTTATCTTTGAAAACTGGCTTCAGTCCAGAAACAGGACAAAAGATTATGACTTTTTACTGGAGTATCTGTTATCTCTCTTAATCATCTATTCTCAATGTTTTTTGATCATTTCAGTTGAGCAATACCCATTTCATCTAATAATCTATCTTACTTCTAAGAATGGCTGTCATACTGCATTAACCAGTTCTGTAGTTCTTGGTAGGTCAGGCCCCATCAACTGCAAACTTCCATCTTGGAATAAGTGAACCCACCATGCCTTGATGGTTAAGTGCTTTTACTTGGTCCTTCTTATTCTGGACGTCTATTCTTCCAGTTGTTATTAGACCACTCATTCTGCAAGGCATTTGTGGTCATCAGGGTTAACTTTCAGAGGAGAGCCATTTTTGAGTTTCTCAAAAGTGATTGTGCCCTTCTTAGTAGCACATTTCTTATTGCTTGGGTAAGTAGAGTGCCCTTTGGGCCTCTTGGAGATCATAGGCAACTGATGAGGTTTTCAGCTGTACCTAATGTAGCAATTCTAGCATCCTACTTATGTGAGCTATTGATTGTTCCTTCTCTGCCATATTAATTCAAGCATTTTTTTTTTAACCTCACTTAACTTTAATTATTTCTTTGTCTAAAATTTTGAAAGTCATTCTTGTGTTAGCATTAGCATCCTAATGTTAGTAGCATCATCTTCTGGGATTCTTTTTTTTTTTTTTAGAGATTTTTGCTATAGGGCATGTGTGCTTGCTGGAGAGACGGAGAGACACAAAGACAGAAAGTGAGAAATCACCCTCCTGTGGGGGAAGGCCATGCTGCAGTCCCTTCTCCTCCATTCTCCTCACAAGATTTTGGGCACACATGCACATGTGCCCGACATGAGTTTTAAACCTCTGGGTCTGGGACTCAAACCACGGTCGACTATGTGGGAGTCTAGTGATGCAACCATTACAGCATCTGCTGGTCTCTCTTCTGGGATTCTTAATCTGTAAAATCCTCTACTATGCACGAGTACTCCACATTCAGAAACTGTTTTGAGTTCTGTTTTCTCTTCCAGCTTTGAGTTCTGTTCAACTCTGTGCTGTACCTGCAGGATCCGAAACCA